GACTGCCCATGCTGGACATCCGACTGGCGGCGAAGAGAAGGAACATAGCGGCCTTGCGCGCCGGCTCACGCGGGCCGCCAGCGCGGCCCGCCATCCTGGGAACGGGGGCGCTCACGGGCGACCTTCTGCGGGCAGCTTCCGCGCCAATGCCGGTGGAGACGACACCCCCTGTCTGCTCGCTCGATTGGCAACTCTCTGTCGCTGCATTGTCAACCGTGGGCCATTGTCTGCACCGCAAGGGGGCATGGGGGCTGGGAAGGGGCACGCCACTCCCCGAGAAGAGCCTTGCCCCCATTCGTGGCCGCCGCCATCGCCGCTTCGACCTCCCAAACCGACCCAGAGCTTTGGATCGGGGTCGGATGCAGTCAAGACTGATAGTTCGGAGGCGCGATCAGGATGCCAAGCCCCCTGGACGCGCATGTCGAAGCTCTTCGAGAGGGACTGGCCATCGAAAGTGCTTAAAGATGGACCGACGAGGCAAGGATGCAAGTGTAACCTTGGGAAAGTTGTGGGGAAACCAAGCAATACTGATACCGCCACTGCCAGGACCTCTCCTGGGGTGCAGAATGACGAGGTTTTCGAGGCGAATCCAGCGGTGGCGACGAAGGCATCCCAAGAGGTCTAAAAAGGGGATAACGGGGGAATGGTAGAGGTATTGGTACCTTCTCCTCCTCTGAAAAGGGTTATCTATTCCTGTCGTCGATGTTGACCGTATCATTAGGTCGGGCATGTCCCCCTACAGGCGGATTTTGGACGAGAAACTAAACATAGTCAACACATATTCAAACCTGACAAAGAAGTGCAAAACAAAACGTCCCCTAACTATGTTTGTTTACTATTGTTGAGTATTCCCCCTGTGGAGGGACAGGCCCGACTCAACCGTATCACGCGCCGCTGCTCCCCCGAGCCAGCGGGGGCGAATTGAGCGGCAAGAGATGCACACTGCTCCGTGGTGGGGCGGGGCGCCCGCCCCGGGGCGCCGCGGGGGAAACTCCCCCCCCCCCCCAGCTGGCGGCGGCAGGTGGGGGCACGGCCGGACCTAGGATCAGGTCGGGCACGTCCCCCTACAGGCGGAGCTTGGAAGGAAAAAAACAAAAAAACTCAGAACGATTCAACCAATGCCCAATAATAGTAACAAAAATCGTCCCCAGCCTATTCTTGTTTGACTATCTTTGACTACTCCTCCTGTAGAGGGACAGGCCCGACTTAAACCTAGGACAGAAAAACATCCTTCCAGAGCATGAGACCCTCCGCTGGTTCAAATACAAAGAACATTGCACAAGGACGCCCAATTAGCGCGAAGAGCATCAGAGTACCCTCTCTGAACCGACCTCGATCTTACACCTCGGTCTGGCCGTGCCAGCGTTCCGTCCCCCCTGGGAAAAGCGCGCCCTGGGACAAGGGCCCCCCCTGACCGCGGACAAAAAACAGGCGGCACACTGCTCTTCGCCCGCTGGCTCTCGTGGCTTCTGCTGCTGCTCCTGAGAGGTCCTCAGGAGCCTCCGATGCGGTCTCGGGAGGCAGGAGGAGGCCCAGGCGCGCCCCGACGAGGGCAACAGGCGCGCGAGAGCAGGGCGGTGGGCGGAGGCCTAGAGGCCGCCATGGCTTGGGGTGGCCTGCGACGCGGCTCGAGCGCTGGGCGGTGGGCGGCTGGACGGGGCCGAAGCTCCTGAACCCCAAAACGGCTGCAACGACACGGCTCCGCCCCCTCCTCCTCCTCCTCCTCCTCCTGCTCCTCCTCCTGCTCCTCCTCCTCCACTTCCTCCTCCTCCTCCTCCTCCTCCTCTTCCTCCTCCTGACCTTTCCTTCTGCTCCGTGTCCTCCCTTCGCCTCCGCCTCCGCCTCCGCCTCCGCCGCCTCCTCCTCCTCCTCCTCCTCCTCCTCCTCCTCCTCCTCCTCTTGCTCCTCATCCTGCTCCGTGTCCTCCCTCCGCCTCAGCTTCCGCCTCCGCCTCCACATCCTCCTCCTCTTGGCACATAGCTCGGTCCTCCTCCTCCTCCTCCTCCTCCTCATCCTCCTTGTGCCGCCTAGCCGATGCATCGTCAGAGTCGGGATGGAGAGTTTCGGGCGCTGGATCGCGCCCCATCGCCGATGCATCGGCGATGCGGCGCGATCATCTCACACCATCTGCTCCTACACCTTTTGGAGCGGCATGGGGAACACACACACACACACACACACACACACACACACACACACACACACACACACACACACACACACACACACACACACACACACACACACACACACACACACACACACACACACACACACACACACACACACACACACACACACACACACACACACACACACACACACACACACACACACACACACACACACACACACACACACACACACACACACACACACACACACACACACACACACACACACACACACACACACACACACACACACACACACACACACACACACACACACACACACACACACACACACACACACACACACACACACACACACACACACACACACACACACACACACACACACACACACACACACACACACACACACACACACACACACACACACACACACACACACACACACAACACGAATAAGGGTGCGCCGCCCAGAATGGCCATTCCGCTCCGACGGCACGCCTGGCTGTGATGCACCAATGTTCTATCGAGAGACGCTACTTCGGACGTTGTTTGCGCTGGCGCCCGTTACCGTCGGGGAGGATGGAGAGGAGGATGAGGAGTACGAAAACGACGAGGGAGGAAGCTGAGAGAGGAGGCGGGGTTGGGGGGAAGAGGAGGGGAAAGAGGAGCGAAAGGGAGGGAGGGACAGGCTGGAGGAGAGGGGGAGGGAGAGGGAGGAGGAGGATGAGTAGGAGGTGGAGGAGGAGGACAAGGAGGAGGACAACGAGGGAGGGCGAAATGAGAGGGGAGTGGGGGAGGAGGGATGGGATATTTGGGCGGCAGAGGGAGGAGGATGAGGACCAGCAGCAGGATCAGCATGAGGGAGGAGCAGGAGGCTCATTAGACAGAAAGAGGATGAGCAGGAAGAAACGGCGATGAGGAGGATAGTGGTGATCACGAACCTCGCCACGAAACGCCCACAACGCATCGACCCTCCAAGCTCGAGCAGGTAGGGAACCGACGACCGACGACGCCGACGTCAACGACAACCGACCGACCGACCGACCGACCGACCGAACCGATCGATCGATCGACGACGACGACGGACGACGGCGACTCGGACCGACGGTTAGGTCGGGCCTGTTCCCCTACAGGGGGCTTTTGGATAAAAAATAAGAAATAGTCAAAATATCGAAACAATTCAAAAAATAGCCAAAACATCGTCCCCAGACTATTTTTTGACTATATTTGGATTTTCTTTCTGTCGAGGGACAGGCCCGGCTGAACCGAAGGGGCCGAGCGGGCCTCAGGACGACCTCCAACGCATCGATCCTCGAAGCTCGAGCAGGAAGGGAACCGACGACCGACGCCGACGAGGCTTCTTAGAAGGAAACTGCTTCTTAAAGGAAGCTGCTTCTTAGAAGGCGCCGGCCTTACATCTTTAGAAAAGGCCCGCGCCTTCGAAGCAGCAGGGGTGCTTCTAAGAAACCCTCCCCCCTCACCCCCCCTGCGCGTGGCCGACGATCGACGACGACGACGACGACGGACGACGGACGACGGCGACTCGCACCGACTGCAGCGAACAGCGCGGAGCAGCCGACGGGGCCGAGCGGGCCTCAGGACGCCCTCGCCGTGCTTCTTCCCATCCGCGAACTCGCCCTCGGGGGTGCGCGCCGCTCTCCGCCGCTCGCCGCGGTCGTGGTCGCTGTCGCTCGTCGGGCGTCGGGCGTCCCTCGTCGTCGCCGTCGTCGTCTGCCCTCCCCTCCCTCCCACTGCACCGACCTCGCAGACGTGCTGCAGCGGACTTCTGCGTAGATTTCTGCCAGTGCAAAACCCCGAAACGGCGAGCGAAAACAGACGTGAACTTCGCGTGGATTGTTTTTGGTCTTCATTCCAGGCCAAAAAACATCCGCACGAAATTCACATCGAAATCCGGAACGAAATTCTCCAGACTCCGGGCCCACCCTATCGTTTTCCGAACGAAATCCGCTCTGCGATGTTGGCGCCGTTTCCCTCTGAGCATCCTTCACAAGGAATCCAACTCTGTGCGCCGACGCGTTTTCCGGCCTCGCACCGATACTCGCACAGGGAAGCGGATACGGGTGCGTGCGGGATCCTGATGTACACATGTTTCGTTGCTTCTCCGGGACAATGGGGAAGACAAGGATAGACCACACCACCCCGACGCTGTCCCCGACCTTCGGAAAATGCGGGGATTGAAAAACAGCCCGCCACTGGAAATGTATGTGCTCCAGCTTCCGACTTTACCCCACGGGCGTGAGTTTCGAGGGGCGTATCCCCCACTGGGGTGGTGGAATGGCGGGGATCGGGATGTGCGGATCGGCTAAACGTTACTGACCCCCCCCCTCCCTCCCACGCCTCCTCCCTCGTCGTCGTGGGCCTGGGATCGGGACTGGGGTCCGATGGTGGAGTTCTTGTGGGGCATACTCGGCCTTTTTTTGAGGGCCTCTGAGGGCGCCCTCGTGGCCTCGGTTGGATCCCTCTCGTCGTCGTTGTCGTCGTCGTCGTCGTCGTTGCCGCCGCCGCCCGCCGCCGCCGCCCGCCGCCGCCGCCGCCGTCGTCGTCGTCGTCGTCGGCGTCGTCGTCGTCGTCGTCGACGTCGTCGTCGTCATTGTCATCGTCTCTTTTTTTCATCGTCATTGTCATCGTCGTGTCGTCGTCGTCGTCGTCGTCGTCGTCGTCGTCGTCGTCGTCGTCGTCGTCGTCGTCGTCGTCGTCACCGTCGTCAGCGCTCTCCTCCCCCTCCTGCCCCTCTTCTCCCTCCATTCATGTCCTCTCCTGGGGAAACCTAAAAGTACCGATGCCGCTGCTCCTCGGACCTCTTCTGGATGCGTTCCGACCAGCATTTCGGGGCGAAATCTAGCGGTGGCGACGACAGAGGCTCCGCGCGGACCTTCGCGGGTTCATGTTTGTGCCGCTGTGTTTGCTGTCCCGAGGGAGGCTGGCAAGGAGGAGAGGCTGGGAGGCGCAGCGGGTGCTCCGGTCCCAAGAGGAGGGCGCACGTGCGCGGTCTGGTGAGCCCGCACGGAGGCCCCCATCGACGGGCGCGCGGCTCACAGGAAGTGCAGCATCGTCGTCTTGCTGTGCTTGTCGTGTTCCTCATCGTTTCTCTCCTTGCCTTCGAGACGATGATCGTGGCGTCTTGTGGCTAGGAAAAGATGAAGAGGCTGACTTAGGCCTAGGGTCAAACAAATTAACCTGGTTGGCGCAGCGGGCAAAGGGAGGCAAACATAATCAGAAAAGACGAGTTCCTTGGAGCATGCGTCCGCCAGGCAGTGATAACACCAAGCCTGGTCTGCCTTGGTACCCTTCCCGACCCAATAGATAATACCCAAACCCGAACCTCCTCATTGTGATCCCTGCCTCATCCTTCTCCCCCTCCTCCCCTCCCTCCCTCCTCGAGCACCGGCATCCCACCTCGGGGCCTCTGTCTTCGGCGCGGCCGGCGAGGGCGCGGGAGGCCGACTACGGCCTCAAGCCAAAACTGATAGGAAGGATGCGCGGCAAAAGTGCAAGGGCCTTGGACGCCCATGCCGAAGCTTCTCGAGCGGGGCTGGACATCGAAAGTGGTTGAGGATGGAACGAGGATGACCGAAGAGGCAAGGATGCAAGGCTACCCTTGGGAAGTCGGTCATCCGTACTATCAATTTCGACTGTACGGCCACTCCAAGACGTAGGAGGCCTACTACGGACTACAATGGACTACGCCATCGTCTGTAGGCGGCGCGACCAGTATCGAGCCGACGCGCACGCGACTACATCGGCAAACGCATTCTCGCAGTGCGTACGCGAACAACACCAGCCCAACATAACATAGCGATATATTGTTTAGAAGATTTCATATGGATATTTTCCCCCAATCAGAGCTTGCCTCTGTAGGGGTCCTAGCGGATTCATATGGTTAGGTTAGGTTTGCCGCCGATTTTCGCGGCACGCCCGGGTTCCGGGGTGCCCGGGGGTGCCTGGGTCCCGGGTGCCCACGGGGTGCCCGGGGGCGCCCGGGTGCCCGGGTGCCCGGGTGCCCGGGGGTGCCCAGGGGTGCCCAGGGGTGCCCAGGGGTGCCCTATAGCCCTATAGCTCTAAGCCCTATAACACTATAGCCTTATAGCCCAATAGCCCTACAACTCTATAGCCCTATCGCTCTGTAGCCCTATAGCTCAATAGCCCTATTGCCCCCTAGCCCTATAGTCCTGATTGGGTTTTTTCCCCGGTATCATATGGATTTTACTGTTATACTTATATACTAGAACCACGCGCGCGCTTCACTCGCGCTTAGGTTCTGGCACGCCCCAGCCCTTGACAAGCTGACGCGCACAATTCTTGGGGGGCACCTCGGGGGCCTTGTGGGCGCTATCGGGAAGATCTGAGGGTTCTTTCATTTGAAGAACCGTGTCATCGATTTCCCCTGGGGTTCCCTCGAACCCTCCGAAGGGTATCGAATAAACTCCAGCTCCATATGGTGACCCCAGAAGGCGGAAAGATGATTTGGAAAGTGGGCCTCATGCGTCCGCACAAGGCGTGTAACAGGGCTGAGAGAGCACTTAAGCGGGATCAGCCCGAAGAAGAACGAGGAGGTCATCGTCAGAGAAAAGAGTCAACGGAGAAGAGCATGGGTATCCCTTCGACGGGGGGGAGTGCGTGTGTATGTGTGTGTGCGTGTATATTTTTATATATATATATATATGTGTGTGCGTGTGTTTGTGTGCGCCCTGGTCCTTGTTGCAAAAAGCGTCTGTGTGTGTGTGGGGGGGTTTTGTGTGTCTGCATGTGTGCGCGTGCGCGTTCTAAGAAGGGGCGCGTCGCTTCCGTCGTCGTCGCCCTCATCCTTTCTCCTCCTCCGTTTCCATTCCTTTCCTCCTCCTCCTCCTCCTCCTCGTCATCCTCATACCTCCTCATCCTCTCCTGCCGCGCCGGCATCGAGGATCGTCAGGAATGCCTCGGGGCGTGGGGGGGGGCTCTTAGAGACCTCGTGGGGCTTCCTGGGAGCTTTTTGGGGGCCTCTTAAGGCCTCATTGGGATCTATGGGGGACCTCTCGGGGCCTCTTGGAGAGACTGTTTTGAGGCCTCGTGGGGACTCCTGGGGACCTCTAGGGGCGGAGAGCTTCAAATGTCCGTTCGGGGACACCCTCTGGGCCCCTTCTTGGGGCGTCCTGGGGCCCTCTTCGGCCGTCTTGGGGCCCTCTTGGGTCGTCTTGGGGCCCTCTTGGGAGCCTCTTGGGTCGCGTGCGTCGGCTTTGGGGGGACACCACGCGGTCCATGCATGAAGTAGCTGGCCGCGTGTGTCAAGGGGGGGCGGGCAAGGTTCGGGAAATTCGGCAAGTACTTGCGAATCTCTGCAACGCGGAGGGGCGAGATTGTGAACTCCGTGGATGCAGCCTGCTGCCTTCTGCTGCGCAGCTCGCTCCGGCCCCTCTCGCTCAATGCATATGTTTAGGTCGGGCATGTCCTCCTACAGTCGGATCCTGGAAGAAAAATGAACAGGAGTCAAACAATCCCAGAAGGTAGTCAACAATGGTAGAAACATCGCCCCCATACTATTTTGTGACTATCTTTGAAAACCCGATTCGAGCACATGTCGGGCTGCCGTAGGCAGGGTCGGCAGGCCTGGGGCAGGTCGGGGTCAGCCACGGGCAAGGCTCGTGTCGCACGGCTCGGCGGCGCTCCAGACTGTCACTCCCGACCCTCGATGATCCTCAAGACGTGCGTTCGCGCCAATGTGTGTTTGCCCTCCGAAGGCCTGCAACACGACGCAGGCGACGTGATGATCTACCGGTGGAGTTGAACGGTGCAAACACACATTGGGCTGACATACGTTCTGAGGATCATCGAGACCCTCTCTGGGGACTCCCCTCCTCTCACCCCCGGGGCGCGGGCGCGGCGCCCTGCAGTGTGTCTCGAACGCCTGCCCGACCGAGGGAGCCAGGCGAGGCCTGGTTCTCTCTGTCTAGAGGCCTCCCAGGTGGGGTCCGAGTGCATGGGGTCGGAGGATCGCGCCGCATCGCCGATACATCGCCGATGCATCGGCGATGCATCGGCGATGCACCAGCGATGCATCGCTGGCGTCGGCGATGCATCGGCGACGTCGACGTGAAGCAAATCGGGCCCCACATCGAGCCGCATCGTCGATGCATCGGCGATGTGGCGCGATCCTCCGACTCCATCTGCTCCGATCCCACCCAGGAGGCCTAGACTGTGGTACTCCTTCTTCGCGGGCAAGAGGGGCACACGGCACACGTCGCCGGGGCTTCCCGCGCAATGTGCCGCTGGTGCGGCACGCGCTCGCTGGGGGCGACCTCCAGCTTGTGCCGGGTCTATGCGCCGCCTCGCACACACACACACACACACACACACACACACACACACACACACACAGAGACACAGACACAGACACAGACACAGACACAGACACAGACACAGACACAGACACAGACACAGACACAGACACAGACACAGACACAGACACAGACACAGACACAGACACAGACACAGACACAGACACAGACACAGACACAGACACAGACACAGACACAGACACAGACACAGACACAGACACAGACACACACACACACACACACACACACACGCCAGTGCGCCTGAGGCGGTGGCTGTCCAGCACTTGGCCAAGCTGTCGCCCCTCCGCCACCCACACGGCCCAGGCCACGCACCCGTCGTGAACCCCAGGCACCCTCCGCCTCGAATCCTCTGTGTTCCCTCCTTTGAGTAGGGACCGACCGTCCTGGTATTCCTATAGGCCTACAACGACATGCTCTTAAAACCCAGCAATGTTCTGATAACGAAAACAATGTTCTCAGAACATCAACCCGATGTGGTAAAACAAACTAGTCCCAGCCAGAAATGTTCTAAGAACATTTCGTGGAAACCACAAAAGGTTCTCAGAACATTGTTTTGGTAGGCCTTTAGGCACGCCGTGACGTTTCGCCACCGCTGGACTCCTGGCTGCGCACGCAAGTCTCTGCCCTGGACGTCCGGAATGGAGAGGGAAAGCATAGGTGCGATGCCCAAGAGCAGTGCCAGTTCACGTGGAGCAAAGGAGTCACTATCCTTCAGAACCCTCCTGACAACTCTTGCCATTTTGACAGCGCTGCCCAATGGGCCCCGAAGGACAACATAATTAATCTAGATCCGGACGAAAAGGCACTGCTCTTGGGCATCGTACCCAAATTTTCTGTCCCCAGACAGGAGCGGGCCGAAGACCGTCAGATCCGCCGCCCTCTTCTGCTTGCAGAGGGTTGAACGGCATGCCGAATTTTGAACTAACCCTTTGGGCCCTTCCGCAAAATTCAAAATGGGGTCTCGGCTTAACCCGCCGGCGACGCGGAAGACCCGGAAAAAGAGGCAAGGACCCTTTCCGCCGAAGATGACCTGAATAGTGCCTGCAAGGTGGTGAAGATGGCATCCAGATGGTCCCAAGACGCCTCCAAGTCGGCCAAGATAGGCACAAGAGGGCCCCAGATGCCACCAAGACGGCCCAAGACGCCTACGCGCGCACTCCCCGCAGTGGGTGCCTGTCCTCCCCACTTCAGGCTCTAAGCAAAGCTGCTGTCCGCGGGCCGGCGGTTTCTGCTTGCCCTGCATCCGCAACGCTGGATGCAACTCATCACGCTTGGTCGTGTCCCGTTCAAACACTCGTGACGGTGCCGTCACCTCGCGGGGAAAGGACACAAGGTGCGCGTGCTCAGTCGGCCTCCGAATCCTCCTGCTCCAGGCAAGCCCACAGAGCCCTCAACCCCAGCCTGGGGACAGGTGCTTCGTCTCTGGCAGTCTTCTGAAATCGGCGACCCTCTAACGAGGACTGCACGCCAACGGGTACTGTGGCCCGTGCCTGGGCGAACCCAACCCTCCCCGATGTGGGCAACGCCAGAAATGAATTCCTAAAACGGCCCCTCTCGGCCAACTTCCATAACATCCCCGTCAGTGAGCACCCGTAACGGAAATTGCCGCTGATGTAAAACGTCGTGGGGGAGTCCGCCGGCCTCCGCTGGCTGGGAATGCAGGGACGTGTGGGACACTTGGGCGCCCCGCTCTCCCTTTTTGAGCAGGGAACGACCGTCCTGACATCTCTATAGGCCTACCACGACATGTTCGTAGAATGCAAGCATGCTGCAATAACAGAAACTATGTTCTCAAAACAATAGCCCGATGTGTTAAAGCAGGACGGTCTCAGGCAGAAAGGCTCGAATAGCATTTCGTCCAGACCGCAAGAGCTTCTTAAAACATTTTTGGGTGGGCCTGTCGGCAAGCCAGAACGCTTCGCCACTGCTTGACCTCTCTGTTCCGCCAGGGTCCAGGGTCCAGGATCTCGTTCGAGGGGGGCCCTCGTGGCCTCCAACTCCAACATCCGACGCCTCCGAGGTGCTCGGACACGCTCCAAAACGGCGTGAGAGAAGCTCCGACGCGCCAACGAGGCCTCAACGTGACTGACGCTCCAGAGGCACCCAAGACGCCCCAAGTGGGCCGCAGGAGAGGGAAAACACTGATGCAGCAAATGTCGCAGAGGTTTTTCGCTGTGCCGCCTTTCAAAAGCCCATGGCGACCCGAGAAGCCCACCAAACCGGCTCCAAGACGGCTCCAAGACGGCCGGGCTCTGGAGGTCCTCCTAGAAACCCTGACGAGGGCCCCAAGATAGGCTTAGGTCGGGCATGTCCCCCTACAGGCGGATTTGCAGCGAAAAATCACAAATGTCCCGAAAATCGTCCCCGTACTATTTTTGGACTATTCTGAAATATTCCTTCTGTAGAGGGACAGGTCCGACTTAACCCCAAGATAGGCCCAAGATGGGGACCTCGCAGGGGCCCCCAGCGCCCTCCCCTGCAAGGTGGCCTCTCGAGACCCCCGCAAACCCCCAAGAGGCCCCCAAGAAACTTCCAGAGGGCATTAACGCCTCCAAGGAGCCTTGAAGAGATCATTTTTTTATTCCGGCCGGTAACGCTCGTTACCCGGGGGGGGGGGGGGGGTCGTGCCCCCCGGGTAACGGTAACGCTTGGGCTGGGCGGGGTATGGCGAAGCAGGGGCGCTCTGCGATCGCCATAGTATGCGCGCGAGCAGCACTCTCTGCCTGAGAGCACCACAGTGGCTTGCGATTCGAGTACAAGCGCAAAGCCCGCCGCGTGGTCCCGGCACCACGCCCGCGCCCGCGCGCGCGACGACGATGATCGACGAGCGACGAGCGACGAGGTCGACGACGACGACGACGACGTTTGCCGCCTGTTTCGGCCTCCGGAGGCCGTTTTCGGGCGCCGTCGACGACGACGACGACGACGACGACGACGACGACGACGACGACGACGACGACGACGATTCGAGTACAAGCGCAAAGCCCGCAAGCACCAGCATCGCGCATGCGAGCGCCGCAATGGCCTGCGAGCGCCCACAGTGCGCCTGCGACCACCACACCACAGTGCGCATGCCTTCGGGCACCAGCATGTTGGAGGGGAAGACCGAGACCCCCCCCGCGTACGAGCGTTACCGGGGGGGGGGGGGGGGGGAGAGGCCCGGGTAACGAGCGTTACCCCCCAGAGGATAAAAAAACAATCTTGAAAAGGCTGCAAAGTGCAGCCCCCACGAGGGCTCCAAGAGGCACTCCAAGAGTCCGCAACATGCGCGGAAGAAGAGACGGACGAATCAGCAGCAGCTGCGCGCAGGCAGCACGACGGAGGGCAGCCGGCACACACGACATCGGGGTTCGGCGGAACGGTGTACAGTCAACCCGTGTAGTAAGGACGCGCGATAAGGATGCATGGGTCTTGGATGCCCATCTCTAAGCTTTCCGAGCGGGGCGCGGCCGACGAAAGTGGCCAAGGATGGGCCGAGGAGGCAAGGATGCAAGGGTATCCTTGGGAAGGTTGCCCATCCTTACCATGCGTGATGACTGCAGGCCCAAGGCCTCTCGAGCCGAGGGACAAAGACGCCAGTCGTGTTTCTGCTCCCCAACGCCTGGAGGCCCAGGTCCTGCGCCTCAAAATCGACACCGGTGGAACAGTGTAGGCCCAAGGCTTAAGTCGGGCCTGTCCCCCTGGTCCAGGCCAGCGCGCGCCCGACCCGTGGGGGCCTCCCAGGGTGCGCTCGTCGCCACGGCGGGGCGCCACCCGAGGCTCTGGCCGGAGCGCGCCGCGGCACGGGCCCGGGAGAGGGCCGATGCGAGGCGCAGGACCCGGGCCTCCGGGCGTGGCGAGGAGAAGCACGATTGGCGTCTTCGTCCCTCGGCTCGAGAGGCCTTGGGGTAGGTCGGGCCTGTCCCTCTACAGGAGGGATGTTCAAAAATAGCCCAAACACAGTCTGGGGACTATTTTTGTCACTATGTTTGAGCATTTGGGGGGCATTTTTGGAGTATGTTTAATTCTTCGCCCAAAATCTCCCTGTAGGGGGACCCCTGGCGCGCGGGCGCGAGGTCCACGCCTCGGGGCGGCGCACGAAGCAGGCGCCGCCCGATTTGGCGACGGAGCGCGCCGATGTGGCATGGGAACGGGACCCGTCGCTTATCCACGCGCCCGACTCCGTGGCTGCGCATCCTCGATCTCAGAACCTTGCTTACGCAGAGAAAGGAAAACGCCATATACAATACATACACTTTTGGCGGTCCGCGCGGATTTCTTGGATCTGCCAGGGGCGGCGCCAGAGGCGCCGCTGGGGGAGCCCAGCGCGGATCCAAGAAATCCGCGCGGAGCGCCAAGAGATTATATTTCTGGTGCTTTTTCTCCTTCGATCGATCCACCCCCCTCGTTAGACAAGCGCGTTCAACTACTCGCGAAGTAACTACTCGCAAATGGCCTGAATCCGCCATGATGTACGATGACGTTACGTACATGGGTGCAGACGTGTGTTGTTGTTCGAAGCTTGCGAGCAAGCACTTCGCGAGTACTCCAGATTTCGTAATAAAGGGAGGGGGGTCTCATTTCGGGGGGGGTCTCTTCCATGCTATCTTGGAGGGCCTGGGGGGGTCTGGGGCCGATGATTTGGAGGGTTCTCCCACGGGGGGGGGTCTGAAATGGCTTGTCTTGGAGGGTCCAGACCCCCTCCCTTTTATTACGAGATCTGGAGTAGGCAACTTGCGGAGCTGTTTGTCGACGTTTGCGAGTGGAACGCGCTCCCCGCGCCAAGAGAGAGCCGGCGGGCGGTCTCCTGGTACTCACGGCCGTCCGACCACCACATCTTCCCCCTGCGTGGCGGGGGCACGCGGGAGGGGGCAGGAGCGAGGAGGAGGATCCTCCAGCTCGCGGCGGGGGAGGTCGGGAGGAGGAGGAGGAGGAGGAGGAGGAGGAGGAGGAGGAGGAGGAAGAGGAGGAAGAGGAGGCGGAGGAGGAGGTCGAGGAGCAGGTCGAGGAGGAAGGTCGTCCAGCTCGCGGTGCAGGGGCAACGGGCGCCCCTGCTCGACGGCGGCAGCGGCCGCGACGGCGGCAGCGACGACGGCGAGGAGGGGAGGAAAGAGGAGGGGAGGAGGGAGAGATGATAGGAGCAGGATCGACGGCGGGCTGCCGCCCCTTGCTCGTCGTTGCCCTCCTCCTCCTCCTCCTCCTCCTCCTCCTCCTCCTCCTCCTCCTCTTGTGAGTCGACTCACACCCCTGGCGGTGCCTCTGGCGTCGCACCCCGTGGCGCGCTCCGCACGCCAGGGAAGGGCCGCGGCGAGGGGGGTCCAGGGCCGACCCACAAGATCCGCGTGGACCTCCATCCACTGTTTGTGTGCCTTCGATCCGTCTCACCTCGCAGCCAACATGGGGCAAGAATGGCTTCGTACTGCTCACCTCCATCGCCCCCCCTCGTGCCTCACCCTCTCACCTTCCTGCCTCTCCCGCTCCCCCTTGATTGAATATCACCCCCGGTGGTCATGCATTAGTTTGAAGTCGGGCCTGTCCCCCTACAAGGGGATTTTCGACGAAACATAAAAAAATATCCTACAAATAGTCCACACATGGTCCAAACATAGTCCGGGGACTATGTTTTGAGTATTTGTTTTACCTTTGTGGAGTATTTTTCGGACATGTTTTATTTTTCGTCGAAAATCCCCCTGTGGGGGGACACGCCCGACATAACATTAGTTGGACGTGTTCACGTCACTCCTCGGCGTAATACCGCAGCAACCCATGGCGTGACCCGCGCCGCGCACAAGATCGAAGACTCCTACGCTGCGCGTGGAACTTAACCGTGCGGGACATAAACGCTCGAGGCGACTCCTCCTCCTCCTCCTCCTCCTCCTCCTCCTCCTCCTCCTCCTCCTCCTCCTCCTCCCCCCTCCTCCTCCTCCTCCTCCTCCTCCTCCTCCTCCTCCTCCTCCTCCTCCTCCTCCGCCTCCCCCCCCTCTCCTCCTCCTCCTCCTCTCCTCCTCCTCCTCCTCCTCCTCCTCCTCCTCCTCCTCTCCCTCCTCATTATCCCCTCATCCTCCCCCCCCCTCCTCCTCCTCCTCCTCCTCCTCCTCCTCCTCCTCCTCCTCCTCGTTGTCGCTGTCCGTTGAAAATCGGTCTCCAGGCCGTTCCCGGGCTGCCCTCCCGACCGCGTTCCCGAGCCGCCTCCGGCCGTGGCTGGCGAGGGGGAACCCCGAAGGTCTGGGGGAGAAGGAAGGACGGGGGGGAGCAGGGAGGATGGACGCATGTACAGGAGCGCGATTCTTTATGTTCGGCGATAATGGGCATTATATGGGAGAGGGGGTGGGCAGGGGGGGGTACAATGCAACGCCTCCCCCCCGCCGTGCGCACGGCGGCAATGCCCCGAGCGCACTGGGGGGGAGGGGCGTTACGTTATGTGGGGCGGGAGGGGGCCGGGGGCTATAATGCCCATTATGCCCCAAACAATAAAGAAACACGCTCCAGTAGGGGCCCGACCGCAAGAAACCTTCCACAAGACACCCAACCCTGAGACCCCAGGACGCCCATTGGTTTTTGGTGCGGGAACATCGCGCCTCCCACAGCAGAACCATCGAAACCCAGGAAACCCAGGGCACCCTGGAGGCAAGCATGGTGCTTCTTGGCATGGATCTCCACTGCAATGATCTCACTCCTCCTCCTCCCCCTCCTCCTCCCCCTCCTCCTCCTCCTCCTCCTCCTCCTCCCACCGTCTCCCTCCTGCCTCCTGCCTCCCCTGCGTACGAGGGGGGGGGCGGCAGCCTCGCCGAGAGAGAGAGCGAGGCTGACCGACCGGGCCAACACACAGGCTTGCCAACCGGACCCCCTTGTGATACATGGAGATCGAGCTGCACACGGAGGGAGGGGGGAGGGCAATGGTTCGTGTTCGTGCTGGCGAAGCTTTCCATTGACACTCGCTGGTGCAATCCTCATCGCACTGTACAGGTCAGGCCAAGCATCTACGAGATCCACCAAAATCAGACTGGACTGTGGCCGCCACCGTCAGTGGAACGCGATGGCACATGGCGCGAGGGACTAGGAAACTAGCGTACGTAGGGGACGCCGACAGGCAGCAGTCGTGATGTCGACTTCAACGGCGGTGGTGGCAGATGCGTAACACATACAGCACGCACGACGATCCAGTGCGACAGATTATGGAGTGGCAGCTGTGACCTTGGTCTGGAACATGATCCTGGGTGCTGCCACTATTGCTACCCCAACTCTTATCCTCCTCCTGCTCCCCCAATTTCCTCTACCGACTCTTCTTCCTGCATGTGGCCCTGAACCGAAGCACAGTGGAGACGGGAGAACATGGCCTGGGACCCATGGCGTTGCGCGTCCACTGCCTCCCGCCGAGCGAGAGCAGAGGAAGGCGGAGCATGGTGAGGAGAAGGGGAGCAACAGAGGGGGAGGAGAGGAAGAGGAACGGCGGCCGCGCAAAAGTGCATCCCGGCGCATAGAGATGGGGTCCGAGGACCGCTCCGCAGCGCCGAGACACCGGCCTCGCCGAGACGGAAGGGAAGTCGGGCTCCGGATCGCGCCGCATCGCAGATGTGTCGGGGGCGCGGCGCGGTCCTCGGCCCCCCTCCCGTAGGAGGTCCCCAAAAGCTCTTCGGAGGCACCCGGCAGCGCCTTCGGAGGCCTCTCGGGGCTTCTACAGCAGGAGACAGAGCATGCCCAGACCTCGGTCCTGCCGTGCCCGACGCCCAACCTCGCGCCAGACCTCAGAACCTGCTCTTCTCTTGTCGTCGTCGTTCCTGCCGTCAGGAAGAGCAGCCCCTGCGCGTCTCCACCCTCTCCCCCATGTGTCAACCGCTCTTCATGGATCGTCGTCTGACGGCCCCAGGGCTCGGAGACGGCCCCCAGACGCCGAACCTGCGGAAAAGCCTCGGCCTTGTCTTTTCAGGACGGCGGCAGAGAAGAACAAACAACTACACGAACATGCACTTCCGCGGGTACTCAGAAATTCGTAATTAGAAGGGAGGGGGTCACAACCCTCCCAGACGAGCCATTTCAGACCCCCGCAGACCAGTCACGAAATGGCGGCCTTTTGCCCAGACCCTTGGAACCCTCCAAAACAGCTCCCATCAGACCCCCCCCAAATCAGACCACCCCCCCTCAGGGATCCTCTGACCCGGGTCACTCCAGACCCGGGTCAGTCAGGCCTTGCAAAATCCTGCAACATCCTGAAAATTCCTGCAGGATCATGCACCCAAGCCCGGGTCAATGAAGCCCTGGCCCTGCAGGATCCTGAAAGATCTGGCGCTCTGGCTGACGCCCGTTTGCATAGACCCCCGTCTATTGAGGCCCGACCGTCGTTTTTACTGTGGAATCCGGATTGCGCGTGGGGTAGGTAGCGTCGGATTCCACTTCCCTGGCGCGCTCCATGCGCCAGAGCCGGCGCCGGAGGCGCCGCCAAGAGGGGGGGAACGCCGACCAGGGAGCTCTGCAGGGACCTTCGGGGAAGCCTCTGTTGCTAGAGGCCTCCTGGATGGGGCCCGAGACAGTGGTGTCGAAAGATCGCGCCGCATCGCCGATGCATCCGCGATGCGCTGGCAACGTCGGCGATACATCCGAGATGTCGGCGTGGAGAAAATCGGACCTCACATCGAGCCGCATCGCCGATGCATCGCCGATGCATCCGCGATGCGGCGCGATCCCCCGACCCCATCGAGGAGGCCTAGAGTTGCACGTGTGCTGTTTCTTTGTGGTTGTCCGTCGGCTTTGGGCGGCCTGGAGGGATGAAGGAAGAGAAGATCCGAGGAGAAACAGGTACCCACGCCGCTCGCGTTCCCTCGTTTTCGCCTCTCTGGGCCTCCTGTGACTGTGAGGCCCCCGTCGCCACCGCTGGATTCTCCTCGAAGTCCTGGTCAGATCGCACCCCAGGAGAGGCCTGGCGAGCAGCGAGATTGGGTACCTTCTGGCTCCCCCAGAGGAGGGGCTGGGATGACCTGCGAGGGGGAACGCTATAGGGGAGCACGAGCCCAGGAAAGGGAAAAACGTCGAGCT